AAGATTAGATAAATTCCTGTATGCTTCTAATGTACTTGTCCCAGCCAGCTGTGGAAGAAGTTGTTGTTTTGAGTACACGATATGCCACTAAGGCAATGGGCCAGGAAACCTGAAGGTGAGTTAGTATGTCTGTCCTGGAATAGCTCTTTAAGGCTTCAGATAGGTTTTAAAAATAACTAGTTAATTCATACATATGGCATTAAAGATTGTCCAACCCCACCTGCAAACCAGCCATCCCTGTATAATAATCTTCTTTCTTTTTAATACATATATTAAAAGAAAATTTTTAGGCCTTTCCTGTATGGTGTTGCTGCAGATAGCTGTTTGTTCCCACTCTTCCTCCCTTCTTACTTCCCAGGTTAGTTTTAGTTGCATTCCATAGCCTAGTTTCTCTGCTCGTAATTGCTTACAATACATAGTAGTAATTTGTCTTGAGCAATTCAAATTCTGTAGTACGTAGAGAAGGGAACCTGCTCTAAGGAGTTGCACAGTGAAAGCCAACAGCTAGATGAGTGCAGGGGGTTGACGGGCAATGATGCTTAACAAGTGTTTAACAATTTGTAGCTCTTCTTCTGGGCAGCGTCAAGACTGATTTGTGTCAGATAAGTCACACGTACTTGTAAATGTGCTCTGTTTTCTTATTGCTCCAGCAGTCCTCTCTCCTTCTCTCTGCAAGAGATAGAACTTCCCAGTCAAGTAGAGAAAAATTCAAGTGCTACACTTCTTGGACAGTATCTGAAAACTGGACTTCACCTTAGTGTTCTTAAAACTATGCACACTGAAAGTCTAGGAAGTGGGTGATTGTGTAAGGAGGTACTTAACTTTTTAGATTACGGAGCTTGGATATTCCTGGTGGGAAGACAGAGATGATGACAAATGCTGTGCCCCTCTTTGCAGTTCAGAATTAATTTGAATAGGGATTAAAGATGCAGGAACTGTACCTACTCGTGCGGAAATGCTGCATGCAAGAAGGTCCATTACATTTCTTTGTTAACTGATTTGAGACCACAGTCTTGCAACAAACAGCTAATAAGATACTAAAATTTTTACTTTTGAGTCTTAGGAAAAAAATTAAGTCTCTGCAGAATATAGGTTTAATGGAATTTTCATAGTACCCTCTCCACATCCCTTTTGTTTTAGTTATTTTTTTAATTTAAAAAAAAATAAATCCTCATCATAGCAAGCTTTTTTTTTGTGCTGTGGGTACAAAGACCAAGAACACTTGCCAGAGGAGCAAGCTGATGAAGCTGTCAGATGAACTTTAACTGAACTGAAAGCAGACCCAGATCTCTTAAGAGCTAAGAAGTAGTTCAGTATGTTAGGCATTGCAGCAGACATAGGAAATATCCTTGTCAGAAGCCCACGTAGAAAATCTCCTTCACTTCATAGCATGTGTCTTGGTTTGGTTGTGGGGTTGGTTTTTTGTTTTCCTTTTTCCTATGGCAAATTTTAAGCTTTTCAGCAGAATCTATCAGGCCTTTGGGAAGGTACGTTGAGGTTTGTCAAGATGATGGATCTTTAGATTCCAGAGTGTGAGATCTGAATTTAGGATTCATCTCTGAAATCTGGAAAAAATAGATAGCTTTGTTTCTCCTTAATAAATTGCAGTGAGGGCGTGCCTGCTTTGAAGCAAGCTTATGTTCAATAGGCAGTGTCCCATTTGATCCTTTCATTGATTCCCACCCCCACCCCATCCTGGA